TCTAAACGCTGCTTGTTGTTTTTGGTTTGTTTTTCTTTCTTTCTTTTATTCTTTCATTCTTTTTTTTTTTTTTTTTTTTGAGACAGGATCTCACTCTGTCACCCAGGCTGGAGTGCAGGGATGTGATCTCAGCTCACTGTGGCCCCCAACTCCTGGGCCGAAATAATCTCCCCTCACCCTGCCTCCTCCCAAGTAGCTGGGGCCAGACACATGCCACCACGCCCAGTTATTTATTTATTTATTTTTGGTAGAAACAGGGTCTCACTATGTTGCCCGAGCTGGTCTCCAACTCCTGGGCTCAGTTGATCCTCCTGCCTCAGCCTCCCAAAACTCTGGAATTACAGGTGTGAGCCACGGCACCTGCCCCCAAACACTCCTGACTCTTCTTATCCTAACCGGGGTCATCTTACTCTCCTTACCGAAATCTGATGTCACCTGTATGGAGGAAAGGGTGGGCCTCATGGAGGGGCAGGCCGGGGGACACAGGGGACTCCTGGGCCCCAGCTGAGCCCCAGCCCATTTCCCCTAAAGGGCTGTCTCCAGTAAGACGCGTTCTGTAAGTGTAGTGTTGAGCGGAGAGTGAGTTTCTGGGTCGCCAAATCCAGGCACCCTTAGGAGTGGAGGTCTACGGGGCCTTCTGAAATGGGTCCTCTGCTGTGATTGTGGCAGGTCTCTGAAGGACCCCACTGTACTGAGCTCAGCGGGAAGGCTGAGGTGCCCTGCATCTCCTCGTGGCTTAGGACTCAAATGCAAATGTATTTTTTAAAAAAGGTGGTTGATAGTTACAATGAAACTTTTATTTACCTCTGGTTGTCTTAAATGCCTAGTATTGTAAAATATGGCAGAAGAATTCATTTTTATGCCTGTAATCCCAGCACTTTGGGAGGCCAAGGCAGGCGGATCACTTGAGTTCATGAGTTTGAGACCAGCCTGGAAAACATGGCAGGATGCCGTCTCTACGAAAAATACAAAAAAATCCAACCTGGCCAACATGGCAAGACCCCCATCTGTACAAAAAATACAAAAAATTCCAGCCTGGCCAACATGGTGAAACCCCATGTCCACTAAAAATACAAAAATTAGCTGGGCATGGTGGTACGTGCCTGTAGTCCCAGCTACTCAGGAGGCTGAGGCAGGAGAATTGCTTGAACCCAGGAGGCGGAGGCTGCAGTGAGCTGAGATCAATACCACTGCACTCCAGCCTGGGTGACAAATAAAGATTTGGTCTCAAAAAAAAAAAAAAAAAAAAAAGCTAGGCATGGTGGTGTGCGCCTGTAGTCCCAGCTACTCAGGAGGCTGAGGTAGGAGGATAGCTTAAGCCCAGGAGCGGGAGGTTGCAGTGAGCCAAGATCACACCACCTCACTCCAGCCTAGGCAATGGAGACAGACCCTGTCTCAAAAAAGAATAATTCATTCTCTGTTTTCTTCACTTGGGTCTTGAAGGGGACCAGCCCCCCCCCACCCAGCCCCGCCACACACACACCTGTGGGCGTTTCTCGTCAGGTGGAACTTGAGAAAACTTGAGAAAAGAAACAGAGACAAAGTATAGAGAAAGAAAAGTGGGCCCAGGGGACCAGTGCTCAGCATACAGAGGACCCGAGGACCCACGCCAGGCACCGATCTCTGAGTTCCCTCAGTATTTATTGATCATTATCTTTACCATCTCGGAGAAGGGGAGGGGGGGCGTGGCAGGACAGTAGGGTACAGTGGGGAGAGGGTCAGCAGGAAAACATGTGAACAAATAAATGTCTCTGTGTCATAGACAAGGTTAAGAAAAGGGGCTGTGCTTTGATGTGCACACACGCAAACATCTGGGGCATAAGGCACGCTCGCCTCCAGCCCTAAGGCATGCTCGCCTCCAGCCCTAAGGCACGCTCGCCTCCAGCCCTAAGGCGGTTTTCTCCTATCTCAGTAAATAGAACACACAATCAGGTTTTACACCCAGACATTCCATTGCCCAGGGACCAACAGGAGACAGATGCCTTCCTGTATCTCAATTGCAAAGAGGCCTTCCTCTTTCACTAATCCTCCTCAGCACAGACCCTTTATGGTGTCGGGCTGGGGGACAGTCAGGTCTTTCCCTTCCCACGAGGCCATATCTCAGGCTATCACATGGGGAGAAACCTGGACAATACCTGGCTTTCCTGGGCAGAGGTCCCTGCGGCCTTCCGCAGTGTTTGTGTCCCTGGGTACTTGAGATTAGAGAGTGGTGATGACTTTTAACAAGCATACTGCCTTCAAGCACTTTTTTAACAAAGCACATCCTGCATAGCCCTAAATCCATTAAACCTTGAATCAACACAGCACATGCTCTGCGAGCACAGGGCTGGGGCTCGGGTTACAGAATTGTTCTTAGTACAGAACAAAATGTAGTCTCTCACGTCTACTTCTTTCTGCATAGACACAGTAACAGTCTGATCTCTCTTTCCCCCGCAGGGCTAGTCTGCTTAACATAACCGGGTGGGCATAAAACAACTCCGAAATAAATGGAGAAATAGTCCGTGTCTCATGAATGGGAATCCTAAATGTTAGTCACCCAGCAGTTCTCCTCACACTACTTTGTAAATTCAATTCCACTCCAGTCGAAATCCTAATGGAATCATTTGTGTCAACTTGCCAAACTGCTGTTTAAACTAATATGGATTAAAATTAATGTGGAGTGAATGTGCAAGATTAATTAGGATTAAAAATGATAAAAAGGGCAGCATTCCAAACACAGGTGGACTCTGGCCAGGGTGTAGCCTGGAGCCCCCACCTGCACTCCTGCAGCTCTACCCTGGCTCTTCATGAAACCGGCTGAATCCAGGCGTGGGTGCGTTCCGTGGAGCACCCATTTTCAGGTGACACGTCCGTGCGCCGCCACAACCACGCTCACTGGAACATTCCATCACCCAGAAGGCCCGTGTCTCTGCTCCAGTCTGCTTTTCGTGGATGTAAACTCTTTTCCTTGAGTTGTGTGTGGGTGGCAGCAGATGGGAGGTTTCTTTTGTGCCTGGCTTCTGTAGCCTCTTTTTCTTTCTCTTTTTTTATCTTTTGAGATGGGATCTCACGATGTTCACGATGTTGCCCTGGCTGGTCTTGGCCGAAAACAGTCCTCCTGCCTGGGCCTCCCAAGTGGCGTGTCTTTGAGATCCGTCCACGTTGAGGCCGTTGCCAGCAGCACGTTCCTCTGAGTGCTGAGCCGTGCTCCGCAGTACGGAGGGACCACAGCCTTTCGTCCACTGATAGAGTTTTGGTTTGTTTCCCGTTTTAGGTTATTATACCTGAAACATCTGCATGTAAGTCTGACTGGACCTGTGTTTTCATCTATCTCAGGTCCACATTTGGGAGTGTGTGGCTGGCTGGATGGTGGACGTAGGTCTCACTTTTCTGTGCCTTTTTGCAGTCCCACCTGCAGTGCGTGAGCATCTTGCTCTGAGACCTCACCAGCCCTTGGCGTTGTGCTGCTTTTAACTTCAGCTGTTCTAGCAGATGTGTACTTATGTTGTGTCATGGCTTGGATTTGCTTTCACGGTGACCAGTGACGCTCCTCATTTGTCATGTGCTTATTGGCCATTTGAATGTTTTCCTTGTGAAGTGTCTGTTCAATTATTTGCGTATTTTTTCATTAAATTTTTTATTGAGCTGTATGAGTTCTTTATAAATTCTGGATAAAAAGTCTTTTGTTTTGTTTTGTTTTTTTGAGAGAGATCTTGCTCTGTCTCCCAGGCTGGAGTGCAGTGGCATGATCATCCTAGCTCACTGCAGCCTCGACCTGGGCTCAAGCAAATCTACCACCTCCCGAGTAGCTGGGACTACAGGTGCCCTCATCATGCCCGGCTAATTTTTTATAGAGATGGGGTCTCACTGTGTTACCCAGTCTGGTCCTGAACGCCTGGGCTCAAGCAATCCTCCTGTCTCAGCCTCCCAAAGTGTGGGGACTGCAGACATGTGTGGCCTACAAAGTTTTATCAGATATGTGTATTGTGAATATCTTCTCCCAGTTTGTGCCTTGCCTTTTCATTTCTTTAGGGCACAAATAGTTTATGTTTCATGGAGGCAAGTCCTGGGCAACATGCTTTAAGTGCGTTGTTCACTTAATTTTCATGATGTCCTTGGAGGTCAGAAGCTCCCCCATTTAGACATGAGGAAACTGAGGCAGGGAGGGGGTGCATCATCTCTCTGAGGACACACTCTGGTGGATGTAGGACCTGGGTTAGACACGAGGACACACTCTGGTGGATGTAGGAACAGGGTTAGACATGAGGAAACTGAGGCACGGAGGGTACATCCTCTGAGGACACACTGGTGGATGTAGGAACTGAGGAACTGGGTCTCTGCCTCCATTTGAGGTGGTTGTGCAGAGGGGTCTCAGGCGAGTGTCTGGCACAGGCAGTGGCTGGGGTCCGGTGGCCCCCGGTTCTGGTACTGGGCTGGTTGTGGGCTTTTCCACCGGCGATGGGACAAGACAAGACTGCAAAGGGAGTGCCCTGCCTCCTCCTCCCACGTCTGGGCTCTGACAGGCCAGAGGACGGCAGACCCGCGGCCCGCGTCTTCCCCCACCTGGCAGCGGTCACTGCAGGCCTCTGCTCAGGCCCTTCTCAGCTCTTGGTTTCTTGGGCTGCTGCGCTGAATGCCAGATGTTATTTCATGGACTGAAAGACTGGTTGTCTCGGCTTGCCTTGCGCAGTGAAGAGCACCATGTTTATGTGTCCAGTTGCTCTTACTAGCAGACACCTGCCCTGGATGCCATGTGCGGCACACGCCCTGTGAGCAGCAGCCTTCAGCTCCCTGGGAACGCGGGGCTCTTCCTGTCCAGCCTCCTGGGGGTTGGTCTCAGCTGTGACTGGCCAGCAGACGCTGGGTCATCTCGGAGTTACCCAGCCAGGGACTTGCAGCCAGTTGCTGGCTGGGAGTTGGAGTGTGGAGTTTAAGCCCTCTCCTTGATGTAGAGAGGATTTGGGGCCTGTTACGTGAGTATTTAGCAACGTTGCCCAGGCTCTGACACCACGCTTATGCGTTTTTGGATTTCAGGCGAGCCCACACCTTAACCGTGCTCTTCATCCTCACCTGTACGCTTGGCTATGTGACGCTGCTGGAGGAAACACCTCAGGACACAGCCTACAACACCAAGAGGTAACCTGTCATCTCGTCCTGCCTTCTGAACCTGCCCTGTGCCCCTGTGTGGTGGGTGTGCGTCCTTGCTGCTCGGGCTGCCAGGGGCTCAGAAGGCCTTCACCAGAGGGCTGCGTGGGGCCGCCAACCTGTCCTTTGAGTGTGTCTGACGCGCGGACTCCCGGGACTGCCCTTGGTGCTGCACGGCGTTCCTGGTCAGCCCCTGTCACTGGTCGCCTGTCACTGGGAGCCAGGAGTCTGTGTCATCTCCATGTGGCCGGCAGCCTGTGCCACGTTTCCCCTGAGATTTGCATGTTGAGAGGCTGGAACGAGCTGCAGCAGCTACAGGGCTGAGCCCTTGAGTTTGGGCATCTCCGGGGGTGAGGTCCCTGTGGTGGCCGCATGCTGGTTCCATCGGCCCGTGGGGCTCTTGCACGGACAGGGGCCGACACGGACCGCTGACCATCTGGTCGGCGACCTTGCTTATGTGGTCAGGAAGTGAGTAAACTCATCTTCTCAGGTGTATCTCCACAGGCAGGCTAGATGTTGGGTGTGTCCTCTGCCTGAATTCCGTGGAATCTGACGCCAGTCTCAGAAGTGTGTGTGGAAGAGAAGCTGGTTTTCTTTTTTTTTTTTTTT